CCCCTGCCCCAGAGTGCTTGGACACGCAGTGGCAGGAACCACTGCCCCAGCAGCCAGTGCAGACCCCACGGTGAACCCTAGAGATGCAGGAGGTCCTGCACCATCCCTGGGCCACCCAGGTACCACCACCTGGCCTGGCAACCACGCAGGGGCATTGGTCAGTACCTTTCTCCATGAATTCAGTGATGATGTAGATGGGCTCCTCCCTGGTGACAACTGCGTGCAGCCTCACCAGCTTGTCGTGCTGCAGCGTCTTCATCATGTTGGCTTCCTCCAGGAAGGCCTCCACAGACATGCTCCCAGGCTTCATCGTCTTCACCGCCACCTTGGTGTGCTTGTTATAGGTAGCTGTGGGGCAGCACACCAGACCATTCCCAGCTTGCCCAGTGCCCGGGCACTGAGAGCACAGGATTCTGGAGCCAAAGCACCCATTCCTGCAGATGAAGTTGCTGCACAAGGGCTGCAGACCACACACAGCCCAGGGCTGTCCCCACACACCCAGCTCTGAGCAGCCAGAGGGCCACCTCTACTTCCCCGTGCTCCTCTCATAGGTCGCTCCCTCCCTGCCTCTTTCACCTTGCCATCCCTCCACCTCCTCTCCCATCTTTCACCCTTCCTCCTCCACCACCACCTGCATCTTCCTTCCAGCTGCCTACCCCTCACTCTCACCCATCCACACTTCTCCGAACTGGCCAGCTCCCAGCTTCTTCTCCAGCGTCAGCGATTCCCGAGGGATCTCCCAGGCATCTTTCTCCCAGGGCTTCTGTGGTTTGGGCACGCAGCAGGGGTAGGTGAGCTTCTGGCACAGCCCGTCACTCTGCCCTGCCAGGGAGAGCCAAAAGCCATCAGCCAGCCTGTCTCACCAGCTGCTTCATGGTTGAAGCAGAGCCCATGACCACCTCCGTGGCCATGGGGCACATCCTGGCACCATGCACTCCTCTGCAAACACCAGGGACACATCAAACATTGGCCATCACAGCCCAGCCCAGCCAGAATCTCTCTGCTCTCCCAGGCATTACTGCACCAGCACACCGGGGAGGGGGAGTCTTGGGCACTGCAGGCATCTGGGGACACCAACACCCATGGCTGTGATGGCCAGCAAACCATTCACTGCACCAGGGGAAGTTCTGGGAGTCACTGCACATCACAGCCAGAACCACAGCAGAAGCCCAGTGGTGATGGGCAGGAGCCCCTTGGCCTCTGCACAGCCCCAGCTCCCCGGTAGCTGCTTGGCTTGGGGACAAAGCCCTGTCCGGGATGGGAAGACACCCCCCGGGGCTCACCCTTGTAGTAATGGACCAGCTCCTGCAGCGTATCGAAGGTGCTGCGCGGGGAGATGTAGAAGCCACCGTTATCCAGCGTCCGGATCTTGTAATGCTTCACTGTGCCACCATGCAGGTCGTCCCTGTCCCGCACCGACAGCGAGTAGCAGCCTGTTTGGGGAGGGGTGAGATGCCAGCCCCCGTTCAGAGGGCACGTCCCTGCTGCCACCAGCCATCCCGTGCTCGTGGCACATCTAGTGCCATCGCCCAGCAGAGCCACCACTGCAGCTCCTGTCCCCACCACGCTGCCACCACCCCCTCGGCCCAAAGCAGGGGGCCAGCTACCCCTGCACCCCAAACATTGAAAGCAGCCTCAAAGGGGGATGTCGTCCCCCCATCTCCACCACGGGGCTCAGACATGTGGTAGCACCATGGGCTCTTGTGGGGACACCCGCAGCAGGACCATGCGACCCCCTCCAGTCCCTGCCCCTCAGGAAAGCAGAGCCATTGGGCTGGGGAGGTGTCCCCACAAGAGCACCCCTCCAGACCTTTCGTCGTCTCGCTGTCCCGTATCATGAAGGACCCAATCATGTTCCCAGGGGCAAGGAGCTGCCGCTCCGCGTCCTTCCGGCTGATGCCCTTGAAGAACCACCTGCAGCAGAAACAAATGAAGCAATGAAGACTGCCAGGGATGGGAGAGCTCAGGCTGGTGTGGGGCAGGGCTGGGGGCAGGACATGGGGCAGGAGCCGTGGTGGGGGAGCATGGGACCGGGATGTGTGACTGAGGGATGGACTCACTCCTCCGTCTCCAGTGAGTCAGCTCGGGCGACGTAGTTGCTGGGGATGAAGCCTTCACGCCCGGTTGCCAATGACCGTGCTTGCCACCACTCCCCTGACCTGTGACAGAGATGGCATCAGATCAGTCCATGGCACCTGAGACAGGGCACTGCTGGGTCCTCCAGGGGCAAATTCCAGAAAATAACCACAGCAGGGCCATGTAAGCCTTCAGGAGACCCTGGGGTGGGGGGACACCAGCAGCACTTACTCCTCCAGCACCTTGAGCCGCTCCCCTTTCTGGAAGCTCAGGTCCCCATTGTGCATCGCCTCGTAGTCATACAGTGCCAGCACCACGTTGTCCCCCGAGTCTGCAGCGAGACAGCTCCCTGGTCACCCCTCCCCATGCTGGGACAGAGCACCCAGCCACCTCTGCCATGTGCAGCCAGGACCCTGGCCAGGATCCACCCAGCATCTCCATCTTCATCATGCCACGGCCACATCTGACCTTGGAGGAAGCCCAGAGCTCCCACCCCACTGGGACCAGCAGTGTTCAACCCAGGCTGGATAGGACCCGGCCACACTCCCACCCCACATTCCTGCCTCGTGCACCCATTTGTAGCTCCCCTTGTACCTACCATCCTCAGGCGGGGACACGGCCACACTGGGGACATTATTGTTCTGTGAAGTGGGACAAAAACAGAGAGTGATGTTGCGGGGGGCAGAGACTCCCCATGGAGGTCTCAGCCCCACCAAGTCTCTGCTGGCCCCCAGCAGCAATGGCAGGGGCAGGGTGGGCACCCAAAGGGCAGCACTGGCACCGCCCGACACAACCTGCCCAGCACCTCTGTCCCCTCCCAACACCTTCAATTTTCTCCCTCTTTTTTCTCAGCTCCTTGCTTCCCATCAGATTCGCTCTGTGCTTTGCCCCAGTATGGACTGGGCTCCCATCCCCAGGGCCTGGGCACTGCCAGCACCTGCAGCCAGCCCCACTCTCAGTGCTGGCAGCTCTGGCGAGGAGAGGGGCTGAGCCCCCCACAATGGCTTGCCCACCAGACCCCACTCACCCTCCTGTTGGCAGCGGTGGGGTCCCTCACATAGTGGCCCAGCTGGAAGCTGGGAACAGGGTCGGGGTTGGTTTTTACCATCTTATCTTGGACATCAGCTTCCTTTGACTTCACGCAACCCATCCTGCAGCCAAGGGAGGGGAAGTCAAGCCGTTGCGACAGGGGTGAAAGCCCCACACCAGCCCCGCTCCTGCCCAGCACGGCACGGCATCGGCACGTGGCACATGGCCTCGATGCCCACCCAGCTGCAAAGCCATGGTCAGAGAGGGCTCTTCTCCCCCATCAGAGCCGAAGTGGGTGGCAGCTGTGAGGTGCTGGGGCTCCCAGCCATCCCTCAGCGTGGCTGTGGCCCCCACCACTCTCCACCGTGCTCCCCGGCTGCTCTCTGCCAGGGTGGAGCTGCCTCCAACAGCCACCAGCCCAGGGCTAATGCAAATGCTCAACTTTCTCCATCTCCCCAAGAACCTTCAGCAGGAAAAATACGCTGCAAGAAGCAGCGAGCGTGGGGGAACCCCCCCGCAAAGGCACTTCCCTTGTCCGGGGGAGACCTCAGCACAGGGAAAGGAGAAGGTGTTGGTGGTCACAGCAAAGGAGGAAGCTCAGGGCTGAGAAAGGCCCCATGATGTGAACAGCACCACTGGCTTTGGTGGGGGGCGCAGCCAGGCACCAGCAGCACCACCTCGCTCCCATAGCCTTCGAGGGACATCGCTGTCACCTCCCCACCACCCCATGGTCACTCATCCCTCAAAGAGTGCCGAAGCCCTGGCTGGCCCCGCTCCCCAGGGCACAGCAGGAGCTGCAGCAGCAGCCCCAGGCAGCACGTCCCCCTCACCAGGGATGCCCCAGGCTCAGGACTGGTCACTGGCAAAGCTCAGCACTGATTCCCCTCAGCAAACCCACACAGTCCCTGCCTGAAACTCAGCCACAGCCAGTGCCAGCACCCTCACCAGGGATGCCCCAGGCTCAGGACTGGTCACTGGCAAAGCTCAGCACTGATTCCCCTCAGCAAACCCACACAGTCCCTGCCTGAAACTCAGCCACAGCCAGTGCCAGCACTGTCGTAGGTATTGTCTCTGCCCGTCCCACACTGGGTTGGAGCAATTAGCCCTACAAAGCATGAACATCTCTAGGAGGGTCCGAGTGTCCCGCAGCCACCCAGCCCCACGGGGTCCCGCTGCATCCCCACACACAGTGACTGGGTGGCCGTGGCTTTCCCGATGGCTCCTGAGGTCCAGCGCTGAGACCTGCCTGCCCAGGGAATGCCGTCCCTGGTGTGTCCCACCCTGGAAAGCCGTGTCCCACAGCCGTGGGGACCAGGTGGGATGGGGTGAGCCCTTCACTCCCAGAGCACGGCTGCCTGCTGCCCCATGCCCTCGCTGCCCCGTGCCCTCGCTGCCCCGTGCCCTCGCTGGTGGGGCAGGTGGTGGCAGGTCCCCGACAGCCCCTACGAGGCCACCGGCAGGGATCACCTCCCCGGGAGTGCACCGTGCCCCCCCAGAACATCCCGGCACCGCCTCCCCCGAGGCACCGAGTGGGTCCGGGATGGGACCGGCAGGCAGCAGCATCCCCACACACAGTGACTGGGTGGCCGTGGCTTTCCCGATGGCTCCTGAGGTCCAGCGCTGAGACCTGCCTGCCCAGGGAATGCCGTCCCTGGTGTGTCCCACCCTGGAAAGCCGTGTCCCACAGCCGTGGGGACCAGGTGGGATGGGGTGAGCCCTTCACTCCCAGAGCACGGCTGCCTGCTGCCCCATGCCCTCGCTGCCCCGTGCCCTCGCTGCCCCGTGCCCTCGCTGGTGGGGCAGGTGGTGGCAGGTCCCCGACAGCCCCTACGAGGCCACCGGCAGGGATCACCTCCCCGGGAGTGCACCGTGCCCCCCCAGAACATCCCGGCACCGCCTCCCCCGAGGCACCGAGTGGGTCCGGGATGGGACCGGCAGGCAGCAGAACCCAGCCAGCGGCGGCTGAGCCGGGGCGGGGACCGACCGACTGGGACCGGAGATCCCCCGCCCGGCCCCGCCGTCCTCGGGGCTCCGCTACGCACTCACCTCCGCCGCCGTCCCGGTATCGGTCACCGTCCCGGAGCCGGGGCTGCCGCTGCCGCCGCTGCTGTGCTCTGTCCCGCTGCTCGCCCACCGCCCCGCCCACCCCCGGTAAAACCACGCCCCTCCCCGGTAAGGCCCCGCCCCCGCTGCCGTCCCGGGGCGGCGGGACCCCTCGACTCCGCCGGTGCTGCCCGAGGGGGCGGGCGAAGCCCATCACACACCCAACGGGACCCCCCCACCCCGCTCTAAGCGGGACCCCCCGGTGGGGTCACGGCGACCACCGCGGGGGTGTTGGGGGGGCCAGGGGAAGCAGCCGGGGCTGGGAGCGCCTCGCCGGCGTGATGATTTGCATATGTAAATTTTTTAAGAGGAAAAAATAAGTTGCCGCCGGGAACCCTGACATCTGCCTGCCCACGCACCGGCCTCGGGGGGTAGCGCTGTCCCACAGCCCCCCCGCTGAGGGATGGTGGCCAGGGGGACATTGGCCGGGGAACACGGGCCGTGGGACAGTGGCTGGGGGGCCATCACCGGGGGGCCATCACCGGGGGGCCATGAGCTGGGGACCAGTGGGGCAGCGGGGCCCACAGCCCCGTCCCTCGGGGGTGGGAGGGCTGCAGGAACCCGCGTCCCAGGGCAGGAACTTCCTTTTGTGAAACACCGGAGGTAGGGCAGCTGGCGGGTGTCACAGAGAGGTCACTCACAGGAACGGGGGGGACGCCTGCCCACGGCATTACCTGCATCTCAGCATCCCCCAGCCCCCAGGTCAGCGGTGGCCACCAGACCCCCCCATCCCAGCACACCCTCATTGCTCCCCCATCTTGCTCTGAGCCCCCCAGGATCCTGCGTTGCCAGAAGAGTCCCCTGGAGCCAGCCCGGCATGGCCAGAAGCTCCTCAACTCTAGGAGCCACCTGTGTGTGGCACAGGGGTGGACAGGGTGCCCAGCCCAGCCGTGGCACAGTGCCAGCCAGGGCTGCAATCAGCCCCCCCCACCCCAGCTTGTCCCCCCAACTCAACAGTCCCTCCCCACCCCGGCATGGCCTTTCCTCAGGGAAGAACCTACTCTACTCCCAGTGCCAGCATTTAATTGCAATCTGCAGAAGTTACAGCACATGGCGCCGCTGACCTGGGGCTCTCCCACTGCCACAGGTGCCCTGTGATGCCATCAGCCCTGCTGAGAGCTGCCAGGGTGGCACGGAGCCCATGTCACATCCCACAGTGATAAACAGGAGGACACCATCCCCTGTCCCCTGTCCCCTGGGGCAGAGACAGGCACTTGGCACTCCTGGGCTTGGAGGTGCAGCACCGTGTCGGTGAGCAGGGAGGGGACCACTGGGTTTCAGCGCTCCCTCACAGGTAGTTGTCCTCTTCCTCCTCCTCCTCCTCTTCCTCATCCCGCGCCAGCGCCTCGATGTCGTGGGTGATGTCCGTGATCATGCGGTTGAAGGGATCGGACTCAGAGCGCAGGGACCAGCTGTCGTAGCTCCGCACGGCCGAGGCCGACGTGTTGCTCATGCTCCGCTTGATGCGGCCGAAGCTGTCGGTGAGGATCCCGCCCTCCCGGATGCCGATGCTCTCCAGGAAGGTCTCAAAGTATCCGATGTCTTGGTCGGGGATGAAGGGCCTCATTCCTGTCATGGGCACCGTGAGCCTCGGGGTGACCACTAGCTGCTTGCGGGGGGATTCTCCCATCCCATCCCATCCCATCCCATCCCATCCCATCCCATCCCATCCCATCCCATCCCATCCCATCCCATCCCATCCCCTGCAAACAGCGAGGTCCCAAAACACCCCACACCCCCACAGAGCACACCCAGCACCCTGTCCCCAAGGGATGCAAGGACATCACTAGGATGACACTCACCCAGGAGGAGGAATTTCCTGCGGTCTCCATAGAGGCGCAGGAGCTCCGTGCAGTAATCCTGCACCGGCGTGCCCAGGCGGTACTCCCGGAGCAGGAGGGCAAACTGCTGGATCTCCTGTGGTGACAGCTTGTTCCGCAGCTGTGGGGACACAGGGACAGGTCTGGACTGGGGATACCAGCAGTGCACAGCCCACTCCCCCCCACTCCCCACCCCACTGGCTGCTCCCTGCTGCGGGGGGCTCACATCTGCCCAAGGCCCCTCTCCTGTCCCTGTCCCCTCACCGTGACCATGTAGTCCTGCAGCTGCTCCAGCCCCGCGCTGCTCTGGTCGCTGCCGCTGCAGGCGGTGGCCAGGCTGTGGTGGGACTGGTGGAAGGAGGGTGAGGAGGCGCCGCTGTAATAGGCTTCGAAGGTGTCATGGGAGCCGTTGCTGCAAGAAAACGGGGGTCAGTAGGTGCCAGCACCCCTCGTGTGCCCACCTGCCCCCCCATCCTGCTGCACAACACCCACTCTCGGGCAGGGATGGGGCATCTCTGCAGGTGGGACAAGCACCCAGGTGGGGCTGGGGGACCCACCCTGATGCAGGGACACCCTGGGGGGAGTCAGACTCACAAGGAGCTGCAGCAGCTGAAGTCGGCGTCGTAGGCATACGTCCCGTCCGTACGGCAGCTCTCGCCTGGCGGGGGGGAGAGCTGAGGTCTCAGAGTGGGGGCCAAGACTCTGCCATGGCACCTGCCCCCCCCAACAACCCCGTGCCACCCCGCTCAGCGTCCCCACACCCGTCCCCAGCCACTCACTCCTGCTGGAGAGCCAGGGCCGTGTGGGTGTGGAGGTGTAGTGGTACCCGGCACGGTCCACACACTCGATGCTCTGGTCCCCGTAGATGATCTGGAAGACCTGGCAGATGAGGGCACAGGACTCCTCGGCAGCATCCTGGGGTGGGAAGGAGGGAGGGAAGGAGCACATGGGCTGGTGGCCATATGCCAGTGGGTGGCCACGTGCTGTTGAGCGGCCGGAGTGCCGTGGCCACTCACCCTGTTGGGCACGGCGAGGATGATGAGGTTGGAGTAGGCATCGGGACAAGGCTCCTGGGGGTCCAAGGGGTTGCTGCCGGCGTGTCGCCGTTCCCAGCTGCCGAAGCCGGCGCCACGCTCCCAACTCCCGCCGCTGGTCCCG